GCGCCTCGCTGCCTCCATGCCAAGTGCTGCTGCTGCTGTTGCCCTCAGAAGTGTCCGTGATTAGATCCGTCAGCATGTCCTGCAGGTGGTCCTCATTCAGGGGCATGCACTCCAGGAGATGGTTGAGGAGCTCAGCCGCCACCGTCGCATCTATCCCAGGACAGCTGGACACAAACATGTGGACCTCGTGCATGCACTGGATGTAACCAGCTGCAAACCGCTCGTTGGCTTCTCGGTTTAGTGTCTCTGCCTCTGTGAGAGGAGAGACACGACTGCTCAGCATCCAAAGCATTGATAATACAAGACTGAAGAACTCCTACTTTATTGACTGACACGTGACAGCTAAATGTTTCTCCTTCACTACACTACAATTACTTAACAGCTAAAAATGTTACTTTTCAGCCTTTTATGTGATAAAATATCACTTCCTCTTATAAGATAATTGCAAATTGCTCTAGCTCTACATATAAGCATGTTGATACAAACCTCCGATGGTGACCATTCTGCGGAAAAAGTGTTTTTTCTTGTAAAATACTGTATAAGATATTTAGATGAGAGTTAATGGTATAAAACACACGGAAATTGTAATTTAAAAGACCCCACTGAGCTCTTGTTTGCTCATCACTGTTTATATTTTTAAATCAAGCATTTCCTGACTCTTCACATGCTCTTTTATTAGAGCAGGGTGAAAATGTACGCCTGTCTTGCCATAATAATGAGAGTAATTCTATCGATAATGCAATACTCAAGCGTTTTATTATTTGGCACTCTGAGCGCTCAACAAAACAGTTACACGGGCTGGATAAATTTGGGCACACCTTGTTTCCGGTTCTTCAGTATGTCCTCCACCTTTTTCACGGTCAGCTCCAGCACCTCTGCGTTCTCCATCTTGGAATGAAACTGAGGAAAGAAACCAGATGAGCACCACCAAGACCACAGTTTACGCCTTCATTGTGGCGCAGAGCAAAAGTGAAACTCCAGTGCAGGAGCTGTGTGCGCTCCGTACTCACGTCTGTGTCTGCCAGCAAAGTCCGCAGCTCCTGCAAACTCTCGTTGATGCGAGCTCGCCTCTTCTTCTCCACCAGAGGTTTCCTCGTCTGCGGGAGCACAGAAAGAAAACACTTCAGTGACATGAGGAAAGAAGCACCATTCAAAGTCATAAGCGTCCACCTGTCCGCGGTTGGTGCGCAAAGGCAACCCAGCGTCATTCTTCTCTCACTAAAGCATGTAACTAACTTTGAATCATTGAGGGGTTCCTCTCAAACTAACCATCCCTGCCTCATAACTGTGCACACGCAGCGTTAAAGCGGCGTGACAAGTGCGTCACTGCCAAGTGTGTCTGGACAGTGCCTCCACCGGTCCCCCACCTTTCTATCCGCTTTCTGTATCCCGCAGTAGGACTCATCTTCATCTTTCACATCAAGTCCGAGGCCGTTTGGCCGAGCCGAGGGGGCCATGTTGGTTGGATCGCCGTTACTGTGGCTTCTCCCACCGCTGCTCGTACCTCCTGAGTGGTCCTCGAGGGGCAGCTGGCAAACGGAACCGGTTAGAGGCAGAAAAAAAATCGACAAACTCGTAGGCGAGGCGAGGCGAGGCGCCCTCTGTTTATTGTGTAATCCTAGTCAGACGTGCTGCTGGCGCTGAGTGGCTGTTGTTAGTATTTATAGGGGCTTATTAACATGTGAATAGGGGCTGTGCTGCTCTAGCTGGGGAACAACAGAGCGCACACGGTCGGAGCCAATGAGCGCTCTCCCCCTTTGTCTGCGGTCAGCCCAGGTCTGCGCCCCGAGGAGCTGGACTGGCTTTAATTAGACATTTTTTTGGGTTAGGGGAACGAACGCTCGTTTTTTGTCCCCCTTTCAGTTAGTTTCAGTGAACTGCTCGCACTTATAATTCATCTGCACAAAACGAATCAGCACAGAGACGCAGAGTACAGTGTTAGAATAGTGCTGTTTGTTTTTATTTTCGTTTTTGTTTGACTGTTCATATGTTAGAAGAAGCCTCAAATATAAGTTTAACTCAAGACAAAAATGAAATTCTTCAGGCTGTCAAATATAAACCAGTCAGTTACTTATTCAAACCAGCCCAACCAAAATGATTGCAGCACGACGCTGCACCTACATCACATCGAGGCATTTAAACCTGCCCCCGTCTCTTTTCTGCCCGACCTCTTTTCCTCTTTGCTGGCTTCTGTGTCCGAGCCTCAGCAGATTTACCCGTCTGTTTGGCGGATGTAACGCGATGCCTTCAGTTGGCAGCTGCTGCTGCTGGCGGCCCCTCGGCCAAAACTAAATCAGTTCGGGGAATTAAGGGCCCTTCTCCAAAGAAAGCGACAGGTGTTGGCCTGCGCCTCGTTTGTTCTCCCCGTTGTTGTTGTGACTTCTGATTTGTGCGCAACTGCATTCTCACATTGGCTGCTGTGCAACGTGGACGACTTTTTTTTCCTCTTTTTTATGTGTGTTCAAACACACTGCAATATACACATTTGCACAACTGTGAATAAGTCAAAAGCTGTTCTCATAATACCAATTTTGATGATTTAATTCGCCTGGAATTCGTTGGGGTGCTTTGCTGGTGAGCGTGCATATGGCGCATTGAGAGAAACCTCTGGCCTGGTTATTACATGTTTTGTTTACGTCATTTTTATTCAGATCACCCTCACAGCAGAGCAGAGTGGCTGGGTCAGCGTGCATCTGTGAAAGCTTCCAGGTAAATGCAGGGCTGCGTGCTAAGTTCGTGTTTTACGCGCTGTTTCCATAATTGCGCAGCAGCATTTCCGCTAAGACGCGCCACTGAAGCCCCGTGCCCCGAATGAATGAAGCCCTTCAGACCTTTGAAGTGAAGGTTTTTTTTTTTTGGCACCTCGCCACCCCCAGATCTCTTGTTCCAGAGAGCTTTAATGGTGTGGACTGTGGAGAGAGCAGCTGTCTCGGCTCGCTTTTGTTGGCGAGCTCCGCCGAGGGACCAGGCGTCCCCCTTTCTGTCTCCCTCTCTCCCTCTCTCTTCAGACCAGCCGCCTGGCTCCATGTGGCGGCCAATCACAGGGACTATAATAGCTGGGGAATGGGACACTCGCACGTTTGCACTTCTCAGAAGCTTATAATGAATTGCATCTTTATTAAAACGTGAATGTATGAGCCATCTCTGACACGTTTGTTTTGCTTCCAGATGGCTATGTACCCCCTCCCGCCCCCCACACACACGCACACAACTCGTTTAGATCCTCACTGTATTTATCTGCTTCCCTTATTGTAATGTAACGAACTCGGAACGAAGCTAATCAAGCTTGGCGACATAGCGTGAAGCATAAATAAGCTTGTCCTCTCATCTCACATACAACACTATACAATGCTGGCATCATTTATAATTACAAATCGTGCTAGCCAGGCAAACCTGCACACAAGTGATAAGTGTTGGTGGGTACTTATCTATATGTCATATCCTCCCAAATCATCAAATCATAAAGAAACAATCGTTATGACTGAGTTGTTTTCCACAAACATACAGAGTTCAGGTGTATCTGGATAAAGTCAAATGGAACAAATATGTCGAGCAGCTTCCTCCATCTCAGAATAATCCACAGACCTTCTGCAAATAGGTTTCATTGGAAGCAGTTCTAATAAAGAAACATTAAAAATGACTCTCTTTTCACACTTCTTTTATTGCCATGACCTATTAGAAATGTCTTATATGAGGGGGTGGGGGGGATACCTCAGCAGAATTTGAGTTGCATACTGGAATCTGCTTTGCACAATTAGAGGTGAGCCAGGAAACGGTTGTGCTATGATTTGGGTGCACTGACTGTAGTTATAGTCAGTGCAAATATATATATTAGGGTTGAGTAAAAGAAGCTCAACTCTAATATATATTACTCACAAAGTTGTTTTAGCTCATGTTAGCTCATGTTGTCTATTGGCATGCTGTATAAAATGTAAATAAAAACAGCATGCAATGATTTGCAAATCTCATAAACTCACATTTGATTCACAAAAGAATCTAAAAATCATATCCAATATTTAAACTGAGAAAGTACAATTTTAAGAGAAAAAAAATAAAAGCTTGTTTTCAATTTGATACAACATTATGTCGAAATGTTGGGACGGAATCATGTTTACTACTGTGTAGCATCCCTCTGCTTTTAACAACAGTCTGTAAGCATCTGGGAACTGAGGAAAGGCAGCTGTGGGACTTTTGGGAGAGGAATATCTCATTCTTGTCCGATTCTAACTGCAGTCCAGGGTCTTATTTGTCATCAGTTTTTCCCTTTTATCATGCTTCAAATGTCTGCTCATCCCCTGGACTTGCTGTTGTAATAAGTGCAGTTGCGGTTTAGCGTTCTCTTGCTGAAAAATGAACAGCCTATCAGGAAAAAGAGGGTATCTGGATGAGAGCATGTGTTGCTCTAAAATCTGTATATAACTTGAGATGTGCAAGTTTGTCATCCACCTAATGCACTTCCATACCATCAGAGATTTTGAACTGAAAACTGATAACAAGCTGGATGGTCCGTCTCCTCTTTAGTCCAGATGACACAAGAATTTGAGATTTTTATTTGTTTGATCACAGAACAGTTTTCTACTTTACCTCGGTGGATTTTAGATAAACCTTGGCTCAGAGAAGATGGCAGTTTTCTGATCATGATCAGGAATGGCTTCTCTTTTGCACCATAGAGCTTTAACCTGAATTTGTGGATGGCACTGTGAATTTTACTCATAGATAGTAATTCCTGGAAGTTTTCTAAGGCCCTTGCACTTATTTCCATGATTTAATGCTATGCTTTATGAGGGCCTGAAGATCCAGTATTGATTTTGGGCCTTGTCTAATGCGCACATTTCTACACATTCTCTTCATGACATGATGTAGATGTAGATCATTACATATTTGAAATGATTGCAATTTTATATTCAAGAAGAATGAAGCTTTTACAGATTGGTGGAACTCTGCCTCTCAAAGATGCTCTTTTTCTACCCAGTCATGTTACTGACCCGCTAACCTAATGATTTCACATGTTTTTCCAGCTCTTTAGTGTTAGTGCCACTTACTTTTCTTTTTTACTTTACCCTTTTTTGAAAGATGACTGTCATAAAGTTCAAAACAAATTAATATTTGTCGATAAAATTTCTCTGTTTAAGCATTTGATATATTTTCTAAGCTCTATTGTGAATAAGATTAGGGGGCAGATCACTGCATTCCATTTTTATTTACATTTTATGCAGCATGCCAGATTTTATGATATCCAGTTTGTAGATTTGTTGGTCCCAGGGTGTTCATGTTAGACATATTAGCTTACTGGGATAGTGGAAATGAAATTTTGACATCTGTTCTCACCCCTTTATGAAAAGTCCAAATATTAGCTGCTTCTCTGTTCTGCTTAATCAGCTAAACTACAACTGAGCATAAGGATATGAGTCTATGTAGTACTTAAGTGTTTTCTTTCTGACTTTGACACGTTTAGATTAGGCAGTTGAGTTTAGCACTTATTTGACTTGTTTCATGTCCATTACATGACAATAGTCCATCCATGAATCCATTTCCCTAGTTTATCGCATCCAGGGCCACAAGAGGGCTGGAACCTGTCACAGTCGAATGCTGTATAATCCCTAAAAATCTTAATCCATATTACTGTAACATCATATTACAATAAACACTTGTAGGCCTCTTAGACCTTAAAGTACTCCTGTCAAGATCCAACAGAAAAGAGCACCTGCAAAGATCATACAATCTGAGTGAGTGCAAAATAAGTTTTATTATTAATAATGTTTAGGTTAATAGTACAGCAAAGGAGGAATCTATGCAAAGGCCAAGCAGGTGGTCTAAGAAGCAAAGTCATGCCTTATAATAACAATAAATAAAGCTGTTAATACAATAAATACACAAAAGATTAATAAGAGCCTTCTATAATGCAGGCTACAAGAGGTCAACTTCTGAAGGGAAGTACTGAGAAAAGGTCTGTATAGAATCATTATAGCACACCTACAATAATAATCACTGGAACAAAAACTGCCCCACATGTTTGTCTTCTGAGCAGCATATCTATAAGATACATAACAAAGGATGGTCTAACGGAATGGACAACCAAGATCATCAATCCAGCAGTTCACCAGGGCCTCCACATCTCAAGTGTCCCCAGGTGGGATCTGTGGAGTGCTGGCCTTTCCTGAGGTCCAGCCTCTCTCTGGAACTGCTCTACTCTGAGGGGGGACCCTGGGACGACTTGGGTGGCTGGAAGAGCAGCATCAAGTCTGGGTGTGGGCAGGGTGAGGGGGTGCTCATCGGTGGACCTAGGCAGAGACTTGAGGAGGTGGTTGAGAAGACGGGAGCCCAGAGTTTTGTCCATCCAATCACAGGTCAGGAGCATGTTGTGAACCTCGTGCATACACTGGATGTAGCCCGTGCTGTATCTCTGCTGGGCCTCAAGGCCTAACGTGGGGTCTGAATGAAGAGAGAAAAAGATACATGTGTCACAGCGAACCCTGGTGGTAACAGGAAACAGCACAACCAGTATAACCGGTTGGCTGCAATGACATTTCCATCCATGGCTCAGCACCTCAGACAGCCATCATTTTCTAATTTTTCCACTTTCGCCCATCCAGCAGCTCCACATACCACGTTGCTCTAACCACCACCCAGTGAAAACATTGTCAGACCTCCAACATATGCCATGATGTGTGCTGATGCTGCCCCCTGCTGCCTAATGCCAAATAGGTCAGTGGATTTTTCATTCTCACGCGTTATCGGTTTATTACGCCTAACCAAATTTTTAAAAAACGGAGATATAAATCGATTTTATTACGATGAATAACAGCAGTAACAAAGCTCGTAATATCGTAATCAATCAAGTGCCCGGCTCCTTACCGTTAACTTTGTTGTTCTGGATGTTCTGCAGATGTTTCACCGTCATCTCCAAAATATCCGCTTTCTCCAGTTTGGATTGCTGTCGAGAGAAGAGAAACCTCAGTTATTATTGAGCCCTCGCTGTTTGCTCAGAGGAGACACGTGAGGACAATACTCACGTCCAGCCTGAACGCTCCGATCACGGTTTCTTTGAGCTGATCCAAACAGTTGTTTATCCTCTCCCGCCGCTTTCTCTCAATGAGCGGCTTTCTGAGCTGTAAAAAAAGTAACCAAATCAGGTAAGAGCAGCAAAAACAAGATGGAGAGGCACCATGCTGGATTCATTTAAAAAATTGGTCAAAAAGAAACCCGTCTTCAGTATGTCCAGTACCTTTCTTTCCTCCTTTGCGCTAGGATGTTTCCCCAGGTTGTGCGCCATGGATGAAGCAGTCATGTTTTAACCTTTGGTGTGTGATGGTGTGTGTATGTGTATATGTGTGTGTTTGTGTGCGCGCTTTTTTGTCCCTTCTCCTCTGAATCTCAGTTCGTCTCTAGGGTCCTCGGCGCGGCGCGACCCTCTTATTTATAGGGCGCAATTAGCATGTGAATGCGCCAACTCTTTGGCTGCGGGATTTTCCCACACACGGGGTCCCATCAGTCAAGACTGACAGGTCACTGGCTCCATTGAATAACTGAGAGACCCGGCCTAGAAAAAAAAAAAAAAAAGCTCACAAGCGACAGATGTCCAGCCTGAAACCATTGCGCTACACCCCCCTTCCCCCTTCTTCACCCGACAACAACACCGAAAAACTGCAGTTTCCTCTTCTCCCAGGCATGAACAAGAGTGTGCAATTACCGTGCTTTACTCCCGGGACCCCCACGTCTATTCTATTCAAGGGCAACATTACACCTGCAAAAAAAGACCAAACCAATTTCCTCAGAGCTCACGGGACGACACAAAACAACAACAAATCACCTGAGAATATATTTCTGTCACCTGTTATAGCTCATAATCATATCCTTTAAAACCCCTGAATTACTTTAACAGAAGCTGGTTGCACTGGGAGAGCTTGTACCTTCGTGGAAGCGCAGAAGAGGGGGGGAAACACGCTGTGTATTTAGCCTGCTTTGATCACATTCGGTGTTTTTAAAATGTGAGACATCTGCTGTTAACTGTTTACGAGCAGATGTCAGATTGACCAGATACCCCCTCCCCCTTCAACCCTCTCTCGCTCCCTCCCCGTCCTCCTACCTTTTGGGTCCCCTAAAGTGGGAGCCCTTGTTTCAGAGCCACGCGACTGCCAGGCGAATGCCGGGTCGTGGGAATCGAGGTCGGACAAAGAGCGCTATTCACCCAAACTTAATCAGCATGAAGTGAGTAATAACCTTCACACAGGGCCCGACCAGAGGAGGACGAGGAGGAGGCTCGGCCTTTGGCAAGTGACCAGTAGATAGCCGGTGACGAGGCCAGGTGTAACACATAGCAACCAATCCAAATACATCAATCCCTCAGAGAAGCGTTAAGTAGGCGTCTGTATTTTTAAAGGGAGTGGGTTTTTGAAGCCACTGTGGGGCTGTTGTCGCACTACTATAACAAAAGTGTTTGTTTTGATTTTACTGATCCATCTTTTTCCAGTGTTCAGTGGCAGACAGTGGCAAAAACAAAGGCAAAATAGGCCCCGAAACAGCTCATGAGCTACAGAGAGAGACAAGTCAGAGTATCTTAGAAACTGCTGATCTACTGGGATTTCCTCGTACATCCATCTCTACAGTTTGCAGAGAAAAAGGGAAAAAAGTTTTCTGAAAAAAGAAAACTTTCAGTGAGTTGCAGTTCTCTCTGAGAAAATTATTTTTTGATGCCAGAGGTCAGAAGAAAATGGCCAGATAGCTTTGAGTAGTACCAAGGCAACATTAACTCCAATAACCAGTTGTTTAAAAAATTATGTGAAAGTGAATCTCTGAATCTCTGAGATCTCAATCCACTAGTGCACCTCTGGGTTGTGGTGAATGGAAACTCTGCAGATTTAAAGCAGTTCTGAAATCTGACCCTGCACCAGCATGGTCAGCGAGTGTAATGTCAATACTACTGAATTCTGAATTCTAATGGAATCAATAACACAAAGGATCTGAATTGTTACAGACTGCACAAATACACCAGGTATGTTACCTCTATGCAAGGGCTTGACATGCAGGACTGCCAATCCCATCAGTGTTTGCTTTGGGGAGTGGGTATCTCAAACCATCTGGGTGATGTAGTTGCTTTGAATTTTACGTTGCAATTGACTTTACTCAGTTAACTGTTTATGGGTTAAGATCAAATCTGATGATTATGATGAACATTTGATGAAATGATGAAACAAGGTTTCATTTTTCGTTAGAAGTTTGCCAGCAAAAGCAGATAATGCTTTATGAGGGGGCCATATTTGCTGCAATTACTTTTTGATAGTCAGCCATATCCCACCACTATCCTCCACCTGAGGCTTCTCTTGTTTAGAAACCAGCCTTCTCCTTCTGTCTTATCCCCCAACATGTAACTTTCAGCTCTAGGTGAACCCTTACTACACCTTTAGATGAAAAACAGAGTTTGGAGCTAACAGCTGCTAAACTCCACTTCATGCAGCTAAACAGACAGCTATAAAATTAAAGCCTCTTCCTGCTTCTGTTAGCTCGCACCTGAGGCTTTGGTTATTAAAGTGAATCACAGCTGTCTGTTTCCCAAGCCACTGCCTGCACATTCTTAACTTAATATCTAAGGAGTTAATGGTTTTGTGTATTGTACATTAACAAAACATTTTTCCTATACAAGAGGCTTTAAAATACTCTGGCTGTTGGCAATACTATGCATCATCACTTAGAAAACAACTTAAAGTACAACTAATTAATTTAGAAATTTGGAAGGATGCAATGCATCCAATATTTGTTTTGTTTAGAGTTAAGGAAGAGTTTGTGCTAATAGAGAGAGCATACCACACAACTTAAAAAAACCCATTTCAAACAAAGTTTAGTTTTATTTCAAGCAAAATGTAGACTTATTTCAAATGTGTTCATGTAGATCATTTCATTTGTCAAAACTGGATGAAATAATAATGCTTTGAGTTCAAATCATAACCTGTAAGTACAATATTTCCTTCAGGTGACATTTGATACAGTGTACTCCAGATTTAGGCTAACCGCATCCTAAAATGCCTTGGTTTCTAACCTTAAATGGGGTGCTAAGATTTCGTTCCACATATGCTCTCTGTACACTGAAATAGTTATAAAAGGAAAACAAATATTTCAAATCTCCTGATTTTAAGTCAATAATCCTAAATTTTGTAATAAAGTAAAATATCTTGAACGTTTTATTACTGATCAGAGGACTTGAAGATATTTATAGGCAAGAAGACACATTTCTATTGAAGTTTAGTCCATGTACAGATTGTGACCGATGTTAGTATTCATATTGCACACTGGACTGTTGCAGGGAAACTGTAGAAGTGGGATCATATGGTTCAGTGCAAGTGAAATGTTGTTGTTGCTAAAGGAAGTGCTTTTAAGCTTTTAAGACACCTCATACGTACATTTATTTGCAGGCAGATTGTCGCTTGGGGTTCGACCTAATTCATCTTATAGGTCCCATGATCTGTCTATGGAGCAAGCGCGCCCTCATGCGGTGATCTCGCACGTCCCTGCAGTGTAACCCCCACTGTTGTTGCACGAGGCGACCACCGGAGGCGCTAGACGACACTGCAGTGACAGCCGCTCTCTGCTAACATTACCAGTCGGGCTCAGAGAAAGCACTAGGAGGAAACAGGGGCTGCACAATTAACAACAGTACAAACAAGGGGAGGCGACACGAGCAAGGAAAACAAAGCGGTTTTTGGTCCGAGGAGCACCTGGATTGCCTTTTACTGTCTTGACAAACCGGGAGAAACGAGTGAAAACGCCGTTTGCAAGGTATTGTGTTGTGAATATTATCCTATGAATTGTGGTTTGCAGGCATAGCTTTCTGAGCAAGTGGAAACGGTTTAGCTGAACCTAGCCTGCTGCTGATAGTTGCTAAAGCCAGGCATGGTTTTCAAAGCACTAACGCGAGGAGCCTCAGTCAGGCCTGGCTAACGTTAGGCCGAGTTAGCTAATTAACGTAGCCACTTTTACCTTATGATAGCTAGTGAGTTGGTAATATATTGCCACAACTCCTAGCAGCTGGAAATGAAGGTTTAGCAGCTGGAAAATGCTTGTAAGCAGTGGGCCTGCCGAGGCCTCCCGTGTGTCGACAGCACACACACAGTCACACTTCCATAAGCCAGCCAACAGTAGCACGGTTGTTTGGTGGACTGTGATTGAAAAACTATAGGCCACGCTACCTTGCAAATAAAGTTCGCTGTCCTGCAGAAATGAAAGAAAGCTAAGTGGCATATTGTTCCAGCTTTGCGGTAAACGCTCTTTTGTTTGCTAGACTCCATGTTATTCAGTATCCATTTTGTTAACATTGCGCAAAGTTGGCAGACTTCACACCATCACAAACCAGGCATGGATAACAGAGATGGGCGGTGCTCACTGTCAGGTTTATGTTGCACAGCTTATTGGGCCGTAGGTTTGCAATTAGCTTTTAAGTTGTACGAGTGGTAATACTTTCATTAAATAGATGTGTTGATGTGTATAATATATATATTTTTTATATATCGCTTGGAAAATGTTTTAAATAAATCAGGGGACTTGACTAGCACTTGCTAGCAGCGAGTAGCGGTTGCTAGCTTACCTTCAGATGGTAGCAGGGCACCCGCTGCTGTCTGGACTGAGAGAGATGGTGAGGTTAACGTTGAGCTGTTCTATGGCACTGTATTGTTTGAGTTCTGGTAGGTACTTATAGGACAGGATTCACTGTCACTTGCCACGACAAGTATTTGTAGGCTAATTTACCCAAAGAGAGGTCGAGCGGGTTTGGATTTTCTTTTTCTCTTTTTTTTTTGTGTCTGTGTTAGGACAGGTTGTACAGACGTCAGGTTGGCACAATTTTACTCGGACTCCTGATTAGTACCGGAGTCATTGTGGGTTAGATGTGATCTACCGATTTTGAACGCACCATATGTATTTCCCTCCTATTTACGTCACTGGTACTGTATCAGGTCAGGAGCAGAGAGGCGCTTCTGCTGCCTACATTAACGAGCATTAGCCTGCGCGAAAGACGCATGCGGCCACCTGGCGAAGCTGAAGCCTGTGTACGTTAACGAAGCTGTGAGCAAGCAAAAACCATCCGCTTGGGAACATAAGGCTCTCCTGTTTCAGCTCTGTCACACATGACACATCATATATGAATGGTGGGCAACAGCAGCAGCCTGCCACCCCACTTTGGTTGCTGCTCGGTTTTATATTCCTGGCTCCAGCATTGCTTTCTAAATGTGGACTCCCTGCCAAGATATAAGAGGAAGTGTGTGACAGCTCCAGGGTTTGTGTGCACAGTTTAGAGGATCCTGGCTGGAAAACAGGTTTGTGGCAGTGCCAGATTTGTACCTTTAGGTCACTAAATTCACCAAACATCAAGTGGAAATATGTCCTAAAAGGGCAGCACGCTTTCTATTTTTCCTCCAGCTAACCTGATCATGAGAATGGGATTACAGTTTACTGGCCTGGTGTTGCCTCTTCGTGACTGTTCATGAAACTTTGACTTTTGCCCTGCCCTGTGAACTTAGGGTTGTTGGGTGGGTCGGAGAATTTTGTAGAAAGGGGTCCTTGTTAAGTCACACAGTTAAACAGGAGCAGCAGTGAGATATGAGATGGTGACATCAGTCGATTGCATCACCCGTGGCCTTTCTAGGGTCTTTAGTGTTTGTTTTTTGGTATCGTTTGAGGATTTAGTTTTATAGATTTGTGACTCAAAGGGTGTGTTTACAAACCTAAATTTGAACTGATAAAGTATATTTGGCAATGTAGTGTCTGTTTAGGTATGCTATTGAAGTGAAGGAGTCGGGCATACAAAGGTCTGAGGTGGTGTCTTCATTTATGTGGCCCTGTGTCATAGTAAGCTCATTTCACAGTTAATCATTTACTAATAATGACCAAAAAACTTCACAAGCTTTTACAGCTGCTAAATGAAGCTTTAAAGGTCAGATCTAGATATGTGCAAATCATTAAAAAAACATAATATTTCCACAAATTTATTTCTATAACTAACATGAGCTTGACTTTTATTAGTATTGAGAGCTTCTTTGGGACTTACTACGTAGGTTAGTGTTTGTTACAGGATATATGGAGTGCACCACTGCCCTGCCCCCACCCAACTTCTACTTCTCAGCTCAAAGTTGCATAACAATACAACTTCATCAAAGGCTCAATCCAGAGTAATGACATGAGCAGCATTTCTGCTTATCCAATGAACATTTGCCAAAAACGCTAATTCATAAGATAAAAAAAAAAAATCTCTTCTTGTCTTGAATACAGTAACAAGTAGAGGGATACATTTACTGCTACCATGCACACCTGTAAGTGCAGCAGCAGTCGATACATTTCCTGTTTCTGCGGTATTTAACCTTTCAAACTTCTCCTGTTCAGGTTTTTGTGTCTGCTCGTTTTACCATTTCTGTGATTGTACTTGGTCTTATCTGAAAGGTGGATTTGTTTTACATTTCTTTCCTCAGGTGGACAGTCGGCTGCCTGGTCACTCGTGGTAACTCTCCGCCATGCCTTTCCCCTTTGGCAAGTCCCACAAGTCGCCGGCGGACATCGTCAAGAATCTTAAGGACAGCATGACGGTGCTCGAGAAGCACGACATCTCGGACAAAAAGGCAGAGAAGGTAGGGTGAATCTCTTCATCTGTCAGGTGCAGTGTCCGTCACCTAAGAGAGTTCACTGTACTTAGTGACACGAGTTTGAAGGAATTTGTTTGAACTTTGAGATAATCTGATATGTTGATGTTGTGCCCTGGATTAATTTGTGTGTTCAGGCTACAGAGGAGGTGTCAAAGAGTCTTGTGGCCATGAAGGAGATCTTGTATGGGACTAATGAAAAAGAGCCCCAGACAGAAGCAGTGGCCCAGCTCGCCCAGGAACTCTACAACAGTGGATTACTCAGCACCCTGATAGCAGACCTGCAGCTCATCGACTTTGAGGTGAGACTTTTGATGTGAAGTTGAAAGAACAGGAACTAGTGGTAGATATTGAACAGTGGTCTCAATTTATCCAAGGTATGCAAGCATTGCAAGAATGCGTCTTACAGGGGCACTAACCTAATAAAATATCTGCAGTTAGAAGCCATTAGCAGCTTTACAGTGACATGTAAGGTCTAGCACTTAGCACACATGATGTAGAGGATTCAGATTGTGGTGAGAAAGTTTGAAAAGGTGTGGATACATTTTATTTCTCACTGCAAACATAAAGGGAACGCACAATAAAACCAACTAGAGAGCACTAACGTTTACCCTGTTCACTAACAGCAAGGAATTAAGCCTACATTAATCAGTCAGTATAAGTGGATGGATATTGATGATCTGAAAGCAAAACAGTGTTAAGTCATAATGTTTGTCCCATTCTTGCTATTTATTTTAGGAACTTTGTTGATCCACTAATTGTTTCAGGTGTTGTTTTTAATTTGTTTAAAATCACTTCACATTAATATTAGTTGAAGAATCACTTTATGTCGTGACATGTGCCTTACTTTGATTCACAAAATGGAAACAGTAAATGAAAATAAAAAATTATTCTTGCGTTTGTGGTATGCTTGCACTCTGGGGATGTCCAATCTGCCTGCAGAGAGCTCTGTTGTACAGTCGTTGTGTGGACCACTCTTGCTTATGCTTTTGTCCGTCTGCCAGCTGTGCAGAAGAGTGAAGTTCCAATAAACAAAGAGCTGAAGTGAAACAGAGTGTTAAGAACTATGAAAAGTGTCACTTCAGCACTGTCTGTGCTTTTCATGCTATTTGGTTTTTTTTGTTTTTTATCTTTGAATTTCTTTTTGCGGTTCTGCAGTTCCCGGTTAACTCTGCTGTTGTTCCCTTGCCTATTCCAGTCTACTTGTCAACCAATTGGCATTTGGCAGAAGCATGTGTCATCTGCTTCCAGCAACAAGCAGTCAGGATTTAGGAGGAGTGCATCTGCCATGGGTGAAAACCCCTCCCCTCCCATCCAAACACAAAAGTGTACGCAGACAGACACATGTGCAAGATCATAAAGGATGCTTAACATTTCAGTGTTCTGTTGGTCATTGTTGTGTGTTGGCAGTGGACCTGCAGTAACTTTACACTCACTGATGATTTGTTTTTGTTTTTTTCCCCACTAATTCACAGTAGCAAATGCACAAATCAAATGCAGTATAGCAAATGATATAACTAAATATAAAATGCCCTCTGTGTTAGTGTCAAAGGATAACCTGTCTAGGGTTTAATCCGCCTCTTTCCCTATAATACCTGAGGTAGGGTCCAGCCCCCTGATGACCCTGATAAGAATAGAGAGAATGGATGCATGGATAAAATGACGAAAGAGCAATATTCGGGTCTGCAAATTAAATTAGGTTCCTGAACTTGGGTAAAAAGAATTATTTAAGTATGCATCTTGTAAATATGTAATTGATTGCTTAAAAATAAAAGCTAAAAATATTAGATTCCTTGATATGGAACAGACTGGTAGGGCCCTGCACCATTAAATGGTTCAAACCACATTTCAAAGTGATGTTTTTAAAGCTCTTGTTCTGTTTGACCAGCAGTGCAAAATCTGCAGAAATGTACTCACTTTTAACTGTGGTTTAAAAAAAAAAAGTACTGTAGTACTGTTGTTTTTCTCTTTAAAGGTTTTTTAAAGCATTTTGTTTTTAAAACAATGGTGCAGGAACTAAACTATGTATGAGAAGGAAAAAGCAGGATGTTTCGAAAAAGTGCACGTGGATTGACAGCTTGCTATTAATGACAAACCTGCCTGTTTTGATATGGGAGCAAACTCATGTCTCGCTGCAATATGTCATGGTGTGTGTGGTAACTGCTGCAGGCTTCCCTGACTCACCCCATCACAGTGTGACTCACTGTGCTGTGTGATCCTTCTTCCTCTTTTACCCTCGCTCATACTGCCTCCTTGCTCAAAAGAAAAGCCTGGTGAACAGTTGCAAAGCACAAGAGTCCAATATCAAAGTGTGACAGTAATTTGATATTTCTGATAACTTTACACACTTTTATTATATGTTCAGTTTTGCCAGTATACGACAGTGTCTCTCTTTTTGGCTCCTGTTTAGTGCTGTTTCCTGTCAATATGTTTAAACCTCAAGAGAACGAATCTTTCATCAAGGTTTTATTGCCACACTGCAGAAAATTAAAAATGCAGCAGATTCCTAGCCGTTCATTAGCTGTTATGTAATAAAGCGCCACACCTTGCATTTACAACGGCCTCTTGGCTTTCCACCCAGAGAGCTTGTTGTAAAATGACTTCATGTATAAATTCTCTATTGTGTGCATTTCTGTTCTGTCTAAGCCTTCATGTGGTATTTTTCTGTCAGGGTAAAAAAGATGTGGCTCAGATTTTCAACAACATCCTGAGGCGTCAGATTGGTACTCGGACACCCACGGTGGAGTATCTTTGCACCCAGCAGAATATTCTCTTCATGCTGCTTAAAGGGTAAGAGCATATACACGGAGTAATACTGCCCCCCCCCCAATGATTATTTCATTATAATTGTTGTTGTTAACAGTACTTGGTATTGAAAAGACCAAGGAACCAAGTAACTTCTTCCTAGCATAAAGGGAAATGAGAGCTGCTGCCTATATAAGAAAAGTAAAAATAGAACAAGCAGTCGAGTTCACTACAGATTATAAAAACACCAGTATAAGGTATCCTAGAGTGCTACACCTTGTGGAAGGTGGCTCGTTTCTGTGCACCTCATCCACGCTTACAGATATCCCCTGGTCTGCCCTTCACCTTGTCTAATTTTGCAGTAATAGAGCAGCTACTAGTAACATAAACAGTTACACTTTTCTTGTTTTTTTTAGAGTACAACAAGCTACATGCAAGTCCAGGCTGGAATAAGTTTGTGAATCACTGTGCTCAAAATGTCAGGTGTTTCAGTTAGATAGAATTGGAAGTCTGTGCTTCTCAGATTCAGTAGTTCAGTGAAGGTTTGAAAAGGTAAGTGGAGAGGTTATACAACACATGAGAAGCACAACTGGTTTTGTGTTGTCAGTTTAGTCAGATTGTTTCTGTCTTTCTGACTTGGATGAAGATATGAGAATATTTGGAGTCACCTGTGCAGAAATCCTAGCGACTCCAAAGGATTTAAAAATCTCTTCTTAAACCTGTTTTGTGAAAACCAAGCACACGACACGAGGATCAGTCATTTTG